CCCCCAGCTACTCTAGGGCCCTCCCACTCCTTCCCTGCCTTGCAGACACTTGGGTCTGACCAGAGACTCTCTCCCTCAGCCTGATGCTGAGGTGTTCTCAACACCGGGGTAACAGGACAAACAGCACCTTGGCCCCCTTTATGCCATTGTTCCTTTCAGGAACCCCTCCCCCTCCACTGGTCCTCACGGGCCTTGCCACTGTGTGTGTGTGTGTGTGTGTGTGTGTGTGTGTGTGTGTGTGTGTGTGTGTGTGTGTGTTTGTCGGGGGCTGCTCCACCTGTGGAGTCCTGATCTCTGGCACCCAGTTTTGGGTCACAGGCTCCTCAGTAACCTCCCGCCATGCTTCTTCTTTGGTCTTCCTGCATTCTCTCATTAGGTCTGTTAGGAAGAAGTTTCCGAGAGGATAGAAACACACCTTGCCAGCATTGTCCAAAACAGGGGTAACTGAGCTTTATTTAGATGTCATCGATTTGAATTTCTTGTGCTGCAATTAAAATAACTGCATATGGTTCCTGGTCAAATTATTGTGCAGCACAGCTGTCTTTCTAGGCTACAGCCCCCCCCGGGGGGGGGAGCATGCAGAGGTTCCGTGTTTCCGTGTGTGTGTGTGTGTGTGTGTGTGTGTGTGTGTGTGTGTGTGTGTCCCATGACAGTGGGGGCTACTATACACTGTCTTTCTTACAGTGAGCCTCAAGCTCGGTGAGGCCTTTATTCTTCCCAGCAGGCATTGCCTTTATCTCAGTGACAAGGACATAGGCAGCTGTGGTGCCTTCAAACCTCCAGTGTAACAGCCCTTCCCCCACTCTCAGCTGATCGTGCCACTTCCTATTTCATTGAGACCTGGGACGCTTTCAGGCCACCTGACTGATCGCATTGCAGGCTCCTTCCTATCACATAAGCCATGTTCAAACAGCCTTATCTTATAAACCGTGGAAAGCCGGGCCTGCCCTCCTCCACACCACCTTCCTGCTTAGGCCCTGCTCTCTTCCCTACCGCTTGTCAACACACTTACTGGAAGCTGTCTGCACTTGCTATCTTTACTTTCTCACCTCGCGTTCACAACCTAAGGCAGACTGGCTTGTGTCCCCCACCACTCCACAGCAATGGCCCGTCAAGGTCGCCAATGGCTTTTCCCCTTCAGATCTTATCTTGACCTTTAAGGCATGCGCCAGTGATCATTGCCTTTGAAACACTCTTGCTCATCAGTTGCTAGGACACCTGAGTCTCCAGATTCTTCTCTTCAGGTCACTCCCAAGTTTTCACACCCATTCTCCCCTCCTCAGCGTGTTTTGTTCTTGAGCTTTGCAGGTAAGGAGGCTGGAAGCCCAGAATGATGACTCCTCCCTCCCAATGCATTCTTTGCAGAAACACCTGGGAATTTGCTTTATCACCCAAGAGCTCTGTTGTTGTTTTTGAACTCATTTGTACCCTGGTTCCCGCTGCTCAGAGACTGACATGCCTTCATGGGGTGTATTTATAACCCCCACTTTGAGAAGAAACACTTGGACATCTGTTTTGTTCATTTGTCTGCTCAAAAGGCAGCAGACTTTAGGAAGGGGCATTGACAACTGAAAAGTGTACTGGGAGGGACTGCAGGCTGTCACAAACTCACGGTCCATAAAAACCACCCAAAAGAAAGAAATGGGAACATTTTGCCTAGGAGAGAGGAAAAAAAAATGAGAGAGGCTCATTTCCAAACTCCAAAGAGACAGGTGAGAGACCTGGATCACCGGGCAGGGTCAAAAAGGACCAAATGAAAAGGTGGCAAAAAGATGGATTTTGAGTGGAGGTAGAGAAGTTCTAGCATATTCCAGAAGACTCGGACTTCTTAGATTGCAAGGTGAGACTGCCCTGCCCAACAGGAAGAGCTAAAGGAGATCAAGTTAGACCTTAAGAGAGGTAATAAAAGTGGAAAGTGGTGTCTCCCCATCCCCTGTTGAAGGCCATTGGACTAAGCCTCTAGCAGTGCAGAAAAACCACAAGCCATGGAGGGCACTTTCAAACTCACTGTCTCTCAAACTTGTCACATAAGATCCATTGAGAGCTCCCAGCAGAAGCAGCATGGCAAAAACAGTACTGTCTTTTAACTACTCCAAGATGTACTGAGGTCAGGGAGCTGATTACCCCAATTTGTCTCTTTCAGACAGAAACGTGTTTTCCTGACTTGTTCTGCCGCGATGCCATCCCCTTATGTGGAGGGCTGATCACAGCGCCTGCCCCACGGAACTCACTGTTGTGACTATAATGGGGATGCCTGCTCATTACCTCACACTGTGTTCCCTTTATGAGGCCCCCCAGGAGAAATTCCCATCTGATTTTAGTACCAAGAAGAGTTGTAATTCTCTTGAGCAATAGGTCTGTTTTTATCTCATGGACACTGGGAATTGTGTAAGGGACATGGTCTCCTTTTCACTCTGGCTGCGGGAAAGCTTAGGAACAAATTGGTAGCCCACCCACAGGAGGCGAACAGGCCATCCCAGAGTGCATGTTGGCATTATTCCCATGACTACTTTGTCTTCCCCTTGCGTTTTCTTTCTTAGTTTTCCTTCCTATTGCAGTATAGAAAATTGAGAACGTATCAGCAAAGATCAGTCAAACTCACTGGCCATTTCCCATTCTGGGCATAATTACTATTAACAATGTCTTCTAATGGACACTTTTGAAAAATAGAAATGACACTATATTATGCATGTTTTTCCAGTTTTCTTTTTCCAGTGTCATGAAACTTGACATAATTAAATGTCCTTGAAATAATTAAAACTTTCGACATAGCTTCAGCAATTTAATACTGATAACTCATATCTCTTTGTCCACTACATGGCTGGATTTCTGTATGTCTGTTTATTTATTCACCTAGTTGGAGTATTAACTATTGAATCAAGTGCCTTCTGCATGCCAGGCAAACATTCTACCATCAAGTTACATGTGCAGCCCTGGTTTCATGTGTATTTACATAGGCGTAGATGTGACAGTTTGTGTGTAATTACACTATGTATGTGTATGTATTACAAACTGAATGTGTGTGTGTCAGCTTATTTGGTGCTTATGATCCTATGTGATAGAGACATTGGTATTCCCCTTTGATAGGTGACAAAGCCAAGGCTGAGAAAGATGCAAAGACTTTCCAGAGCCACACAGCAGAGGCAGGAGTTGGATCCTGGCACTCCGGCTCCAAACTGTGTTCTCCCAAGTGCTCTGTTGCCTTGCAGCACACCACTGAGATTTCAAAGTCCACTATGGTTAAACATTCCTTTTATTTCCTTTCACTTCATTTCAAATTTATGTTATTTTGCCAAGTTTAAGTACCCTAGTAAGTCACCTGCGGTCCTTTCTACCACAAGGCAAGGCATACATAAACAGCACAAAGTGGCAAACGACATAAGCAGGCGAAGCTAAACACAACCCCAGAGACTCCGGGTGAGTCCAGGCTGTCCCTGCAATGACGTGGATTTATTTCCTTGGGCTGTGGCTAGCTCCCCTCCCTGGAAGATCTGGCTTGGGTGGTCAGCTCTCAGGAAGACCAGGAGGCCTTCTTCCAAAGAGAATGAACAGGGCCAGCCCAGCCTTGAGGCCCTTTCTTAGATTCTCAGAGTTTATGAAAATGACAGTAAAAAAAAAAATGAAGCAGGCTATAGAGCTAATGCATGGAGCAAGGAAGCCCTTGGGCCAGAACCAGGGTTGGAGCTTTTCATCCGGGTCTGTTACTGGATCACACATTTCAGATGAGAAATAAATGTAACAGAAATCATGTTTCACATTCACAGCCCTGTAGAGTGTCACCCCTGAACTCGTTGGCTGTGACTGCAAGGCAGTCAAAGGTTACCATTCTTGTTCACGGTCCCTTTGTTAAGGTGTCAGGGGACAAGGCCAGAAACTGGGTGGCCTGAGGACACCTCACGAGACTATAATTGGGTGAGATTATCTATTTGACAAACGTGGAGAGAAAACTCAGGATTCTTTGAGATGGGGTATGTTGCCCAGGCTGGCCTTGAACCTCTTAAGTAGCTCTGAAGCTTCAGCCTCCAGAGTAGCTGGAATGACAAGAACATACCACCCACAGAACACCACCGCCCCAGGCTGTGAGCCCAGGTTACTGTATCCAGGTTTGATTTTCACTAGCTTGGAGACTTGGGACAAATTATCCCTAACCCTGAGACCTCAATGTATTCAGCTGAAAAATGGAGCCAATTGTTACTCTGCAAATCTATTGTGGGAATCTCCATAGGGGCACTTTAAAAAACAGCAGCAAGGAAGTGCCAAGAAGCCAGCTCAAGGGACCTCGGGAGGACTGCCCTGGCCCCACCTCCGAGGTTCTGAGCAGACCTGAGTAGGCCACCATCCAGGTGCGTCCTCGCTTCTTGACCCTTAGCCTGCAGTCCACCACAACTTCCAGGTCTGAAAGGAAATTTCGTTTTTTTACAGATGGGCCTAAGGCAGTGACAACTCTGGGAGGTTTAGGCTCTGTCCCTTGTCGCCATACCCCAGGGCCTCGGGACAGGAGTAAGGAGCAGGTAGCGTCCCCTTTCTGTTCCCCTTCCTCACGCCTCTGGGGCTGAGTGCCCATAGGGGCACGGCCCTGTGCGCGGTGCCACCCGGGGCCACCAGGCTGGGTTAGAGGAAGGCCGGACCTCGGCGCAGAAAAGAAAACAAACACAGATGTGTTTGGCTGGGACTCGGAGGGAGAAAGCCGTCCTCGCCCCCACCCCACCCCCACAGGGTGCGCGCGGGCCCTGCCCCCTCTCCGGGGTTTCCCCGGGCGCTCCTCTCGCTTTCTCTTTGTCTCTGCTGTTCTTTCTCGGGCTCCCAGGTTCCCACCCGCTCGCTCTCGCCCTCTGGAGCATCCCGGGCCCGTTGGCTTTAACTTTCTTCTTTCCCGGGGTTAAAACTTTGCTCCCGAGCGGGCGGCTGCTTGCCGACGTTATTGGCCGGCGCCCCGCCCGGCGGCCCCGCCCCCGCGCTCCCCTCCGCCCCCCACTCTCAGCGCGAGTGGCGGCGGCGGCGGCGGCGGTGGCGGCGGAGCCTTCGGGGGCGTGCGTGCGTGTGTGAGTGCGCGCCAGCGAGCCTGAGTGTGTGTGTGCGCCCCGGGCGCGGGCAGGGCAGCACTCCGACCGCAGCGGGAGCCGGGCGGCCGCGTAGTCACTCGGGAGGAAGAGGCGGCGGCGGCCGGGGCCGGGGCCGGGGCTGGGGCAGCGGCGGCCGCGCTGGGCATGGAGCTGGCAAGCCCGCGCTGAGACAGGACGCTCCTGCTAGCCGCCAGCGAGAGACTCTCTGCGGTCCGGCGCGCGGGCTCCCCGGCCGGGGCCAGGCAAACTTTTCTTTCTCTTTTGCCATCACTTAGAGGTAAGGTCCCCTACGCGGAGTCCCTCACTGGGGACGCGACCGGGAGGGGGCATTTGAGAAGAGACCCCAGGTGGCGGGAGGAAAGGGACGCTAGCCCTGCGGGATTGGGGGACCCGGAGCCCTTCTGCGCCCGTGAGATTTACGGAGCAAGGCGGGCATGGCTGCGGATGAGCAGACGGGCGCGGGCATGCCTCTCGGTTGGCGGGGAGTCTGTGGAGAGGCCGGGGTAGCCGGGAGGAAGGGGATCGGGCTGTTCAGGCTTAGAGGTCCCCCACGCTCGGGGGCTCCTGGGACTTTGGAGGAGTGAAGCAGGCAGCTCCGGGGTTGGTGCCCTGCCCCGCGGAGGGCTGTAGGGCGCGGGGCAGGCTGGCTGTTGGCTGGCTGAGCGCGGCTCCTCTCTCTCCGCAGGCGCCTGGTGCGGCGGGCGGACCGACTCCTCGGTGCGGGACCGGGGCAAGCTGGCCACGGCATGATGCGCGCTGTGTGGGAGGCGCTGGCGGCGCTGGCGGCGGTGGCGTGCCTGGTGGGCGCGGTGCGCGGCGGGCCCGGGCTCAGCATGTTCGCCGGCCAGGCGGCGCAGCCCGATCCCTGCTCGGATGAGAACGGCCACCCGCGCCGCTGTATCCCGGACTTTGTCAACGCGGCCTTCGGCAAGGACGTGCGCGTGTCCAGCACCTGTGGCCGGCCCCCGGCACGCTACTGCGTGGTGAGCGAGCGTGGCGAGGAGCGGCTGCGCTCGTGCCATCTCTGCAACTCATCCGACCCCAAGAAAGCGCACCCGCCTGCCTTCCTCACCGACCTCAACAACCCGCACAACCTGACGTGCTGGCAGTCCGAGAACTACCTGCAGTTCCCGCACAACGTGACGCTCACGCTGTCGCTCGGCAAGAAGTTTGAGGTGACCTATGTGAGCCTGCAGTTCTGCTCGCCGCGGCCGGAGTCCATGGCCATCTACAAGTCCATGGACTATGGGCGCACGTGGGTGCCCTTCCAGTTCTATTCCACGCAGTGCCGAAAGATGTACAACCGGCCGCACCGCGCGCCCATCACCAAGCAGAACGAGCAGGAGGCCGTGTGCACCGACTCGCACACCGACATGCGCCCGCTCTCCGGCGGCCTGATCGCCTTCAGCACGCTGGACGGACGGCCCTCGGCGCACGACTTCGACAACTCGCCGGTGCTGCAGGACTGGGTTACGGCCACCGACATCCGCGTGGCCTTCAGCCGCCTGCACACGTTTGGCGACGAGAACGAAGACGATTCGGAGCTGGCGCGCGACTCCTATTTCTACGCAGTGTCTGACCTGCAGGTTGGCGGCCGCTGCAAGTGCAATGGCCACGCGGCACGTTGCGTGCGCGACCGAGACGACAGTCTGGTGTGTGACTGCAGGCACAACACAGCCGGCCCCGAATGCGACCGTTGCAAGCCCTTCCACTACGACCGGCCCTGGCAGCGCGCCACGGCCCGCGAGGCCAACGAGTGCGTGGGTGAGTGGGGCGCCCCGGCGCCGCGGGCGGTGGGTGGAGACGCGGGCTGGGGCTCCTGGACCTCGCCAGCGGCGGGTTTCCCGGAGCGCGGGCTCCAAGCGTCCAAGCATCGCGGGATTGTGGGTTGCGGGGTCATTACAATTGCTGTGGGACACTCGTTCCGAGACGTGTGGGACCGGCAGTACTGGCTGTGGATGCCCGGGTGTGCATCCTCGTACCCACTTCGAAACCAAGAAGCGGCTGGTGAAGTGCCACAGGAGGTCGGGGGTGGAGGGAGGGGTTTGGAGAAAATTTGCCGACAGGTCTTTTCTAATCCCAGGTCCAAAGGGAAACACATTCACTGCCTTCCCGTTTGCTCAGTGCTTGGGGTTCACCTCCGCCCCCTCCCTTTCCTAAGGCTGCAGCTGGGCACGCGGTTGGGGACCGGAGTGTTTCAGAGCCACAATCGCGAATCCCTTGGGAGATGGCAAAGAACTCTTTGCAGCTTGGGACCAGTTGGGTACCCAGCAAATGTCAATTTTGCACTCCGCATTTGTCTTTTTATGGTTTGATCCTTTCTTTTTTCTCTTTTGAACAGCGTGTTCGTGTTAGCAGAAGGAGAGTGATGTGATTTCAATTAATTACTATCTACAGATTACAAAGGAGGCCTCAGTAGCTATTTTAAACTAATTCAGTCCTGGTCCAAAAAAAGAAGTCTACCAGATTTTTTTGTTAGCTCCGGGGTTTGGTGAAATTGAACAGTTTTGAATTAATTAAGGGCCCTTCGTCTCTATTTTTAATGGAGTTTCAATTCCTGAAAGAGAAATCTGACAAACTCGGTGCTGGTGAATACGTCTGGGTCAGAAAGGAAGCTAAGAAAGGCTATGTTCTACTTCTGAATTGTACAACTTTGTTGGTGCAGAAACTCCCAGACATCAGGAGAGAGAGAGAGAGAGAGAGAGAGAGAGAGAGAGAGAGAGAGAGAGAGAGAGAGAGAGAGAGAGAGAGAGAGAGAGACTTTTTCAGCTTTAGATGTAAATGTGTAAATCACTTATGAAAATCATGTAGTTCGTAATGTACCATTTGGTGTGCATCTTTTGTGAATATACAGATTTCTATCCCCTCCCTCCCAACCCCAGAGAGCCAGTGCAAGTCTCTTCAATTGCCTCGCCCGCCCTCGGAGGCACATAGCAGAGTTTGCTGGTCCCCACAAACACACGTTTTGAAGTCTGGTTCTGATTAATTGTGTCATGTTGTTGTCGAATAGTTTGTGCCTCATGACTGTGGATGCAGACTTTTGAGCAAGCGAATGGAAAACATGTCTCCGAGGGTCGGTGCACAGAGGCCCAGGCAGGAGCCCTGGTCTGCAGACGCCTTCGCCTCCTGTTGCTCTGCAGGGCCTCCCATTTAAAAAGGCGGGTGCGTCCCAGCTTTGGCAGACCTAATTGAACATCCCCTAACCTTCAGGAGACAGAAGAACTAGCTTCCAGTGTGAGACTTTTCAGGCCTCGGTAAAGTACTGGCATCCAGACTTAGTGGTCTTGGAGAATAAAGTGCCTTTGATCTGTTCAGGTCCCTGGGAAATGTTAGTTTTCCCCATCTCTTCTCCTCTTTTCTTTTCTTCCTTTTGTGTGGAAAAGCCCTTTATTGGAATTTAAAGGGATTCCCAGGGTTTCGCTATCAGTTTAAGTTTGTATGTGCATATGAACGGTGACTTTGTATGGTCACCATGGGGGGAGGGGAGTTTAATTGGACAAACCTGAGTGGATACATTGAGGTGAATAATATGGATTTGTGACAAAAATATTACTAGCTTGAAGGTTCCTTGGTACTGGTCACCCCTCACTCCCATCTCTCTCTGTCACTTAGTCTGGGAAGACACAACCTGCTATTTGTGATAATGATGGTCTTAGACATAAAACAATCTCTCCAGTTTAGGATTTTTCTCTTTCTACCAAAGCACTAACTACACACAAATTGGATTGACCCCCCCTCCTTTTTTTGTGCCAAGTTGAGCAATCAACATATTAACTAATGTAATTAGCAAGTGGTTTTTGTTCAAAAAGTTTAATTAGGCCCAGTAAGTACATAATCTACATGACAAATGATCGGCTAACAATATTTTTCAGGGTTTTACTGAAGTTATTTTAATTCTTAGTAGTTAAAGCATCTTTAAATCTTGCCAATTATTCAGTCATTTCATAAAAGTCAAGCCGACTCAATTCCACTGAAGTTATTTATAGTTTCCTTTTTGAATAGATGTTCTGATACCTTGTAGATAGGATTGGGAACATCAGATTGAAGTTCCCATAAAATCTTAATTGAAGTCTTAGTGATTTTTCCATCATTCTGTTAGAAAGAAAGCCAACAAGGACAATTTAGGAGTGATTTATAGTTAAAGGTCCAGCTTTTTATGAAAAGGCCCTGTAGTGGAGATATGTGAATGAATTAGTATTTGACAGGTGCTCTGAGACCCTGGAAGGCACGGTGCTGGGAGAAACATTAATAAATCCTTCAGATACTAACTTAATACCTTCAGCAACTCAGATCCCCCCCAACATAATCCCATTTTGTGAATTTCACACTGTTGACATATGAAGTGAAACTGCCCTATTAGACTATTTACAACTAAGGAAAAGGATTGCATTTTTTAAATTAAAAACAATATCAGTCTTGACAAAAATCAAGCAGCATCACCGTGCCATTTTGGTTTTTCTTTAAGAAGTTATAAGATGTGATTTATAATAGGCCTAAGTGGGACAATTCCCTAGATTAGCCTCCACTCCCTCCTCAACAAAATCCCTAAGAATTTAGACTACTGAATATCCTCCAAGGAGGACCAGGCACTTAGAGATTCCTAAGCAGTGAAGATAGTTCATGTGTTTTCTTAGGTGGGGCTTTCATTTCAGTATTGCTTCAAACCAAGTTTCTCTACAGAGCCAATGTGAACTGTTGTGAAGGCCAATGTTTTAAATGCAATTTTGGATTTCAAGAAAGAGCTCTTGAAGTAATATGAAAGAGAAGACTATGTCTACCCTTCCATCTTGGACAGCTCTCAGCGGAATAACCAAATTCTTTCTTCCGACCACATGCATCAGCGGCGTTCACATGCTTTTCTACACATGTGCATTTACATCGACTGTGTAGAGAAGCACCCATGCGTGGTGTGTGGGAGGGGTGTACATTGGAGGGAGGATACATGAGCAGTTTTAAACCACCTGGATGGCTGGGCTCTCCTTCCCCCTCTCCCTCCTTTTTTTTTTCTCAAAAGAGCATCTGAAGACCATATTGTGTTTCATAAGTTATTGACATCAGTTTTAATCAGTGTCCCCCTGACGTGGGAGCTGTGTTAGTATTTAGTGCCTGCTGAAGCATGATGTTTAATCTTACTGTGGGGATGTCAGCGTGAGCCCCTGCTTGGTTTGTGACAGGTTGAGATTATGAAAACTCGTTTTGCGACTCACTCTATGGCTTTGCATTGCCTAGCTGTAACCCTAAACCCACACAAAAGGCGCCTCTGCAAGATGAGCGCTGTGCTGGGATGGCCTCCTATGGTCCGGGGTACCTGCAACATAATGCTCATAATTGTTTAAACATGGCTTTGAGGAGGGGTGCAGTCCAAATGCTGCAGGTAGCCCTGGTGCTTGGGGCATCCTTATCTTTCGTCAAGCAAGGGAGGTTACATTGGAGGAGTTGCCATGAAAAAAAAAAACACCAGTGCCCCACTAAAGATTCTTGCTATATCAGAAGGCCAAAAATATTTGCTGGCTCTGTCTAGAGCCTGGCACCTATCTGTGAATGAGTGTATGTTTTTAATACTCATAGTAATTATTATAATTACTGTCATTATGATGATTAACTCTTGAGGGCTTATTCTTTGCCAAGCACTCACATTAATTTAGTTATTTAATCGTTGTGACTCTGTGAATAATGGGCACTATTATTGTCCTTATTTCAGAGATGAGGAAACCATGGCCTAGAGACATCCCATGGTTTGCTCAAAGCCCAGAGCTGGTAGGTGGCAAAGCTGGGCCTCCGGCCCCTGATCACACTTGGTTTTATTGTACATGCTGTGCTGCTTCCACATGGAGTGACTGGCTGGATGACTGAGAGGGAATAAGTGCATGCTGTTCATATACAGGAGGAAAGGTGGGACAACCTGTTACTTCTTGCTAGAACGGGAGGTGGTAGTTTCCTTAGGTGTGTTGGCTTGTAGTATGTACCGAACTGTTGATATTAATGCATACTTAAACATGAAGTTGCAGATGACTTCTCTGTCATCACCAGTAGGCCTGGTGGTAACAGGCAGGGAGAACTATAATTGAAGAAGGTCTTTTAGGTTTTTTTTTTTTTTTGTATTTGTTTGTATTTTGTGAACCTGTGTCTTGGTGCATGCTGGATAAGCACCTCATTACCAAGCAATGCTTTTCAGCTTATGTTGATTTGTGTGGAGGTCAGGGAACAGCTTGCTGAGTTGATTCTCTTTTCATTATGTTTTCTGGTTTGTTTGTTTGTTTCCTTTAAGATTGACAGGATAGGTGGCAGTATTCTCTACTCTCTTAGCCAAGTCCTGGCTGGCACTAATTTTTTGGTGTTTTTTTTTGTTTTGTTTTGATTTTGTTTTTTTTTTTTTTTGGACAGGTCCCTCTTTGTAGCTCTTGCTATACTGGAACTCGCTCTGTATTCTAGGCTGGCCTCTAACTCGGAGATCTGCCTGCCTCTGCTTCCCGAACTCTTAGAAAGGCATCCGGCACTATGTCTGGCCTAATTTCTTTTCTTTGAGACAAAGTCTTGCTAAATTGTTCAAGTTGACCTTAAACTTAAAACAAAAACCAAATAAACAAACGGCTTTTAAAAATGTTTTATTTATTTTTATGTCTGTGAATTTCTTGATTGCATGTTTACAGATGCTTTTGGACAATCTGGGTGCTGGGAATCGAACCCTTGTGCTCTGTAAAACAAGTGCTGTTAACCACTGAGCCATCTCTCCAGTGCCATGGCCCAGAACTTCATTTCCCTGC